CACCAGCGCAGAGGCCGGGCCGGGCCGGGCCGGGCCGTACTGTACTGTACTCACTCCCGCCCGCAGGCAGGGTCGGTGAGCCTCGGTGCAGGGTGCCATTTTCTCTCCTTGTTAGACCTTCCGGAGCTGAGCAGGAGGCGGCTGCTGATGTGTTCTGTGTCCTGCAAGCAGGTCTGGCAGGGCACAGCATGATTGAAGAGGACTGGAATGCAGAGATGGGGGACGAGGCGTTGCTCCCATCCCTTGAGAAGGTATGGGGGGGAGGGGGGCGGCAATTGTTAGGCTGTAGTGTGTTTGCTTCTTTTACCTTTCCTTCCTCCAACCCCTGTTCTTACAGCCTGGATGGCTGGTGGGCTGTGGTGTCCCCTGTTCCTGTGATTCCGGAAGCACCTGGAGGAACTTGACCTTAACTTGGTGCTGAAAAGACAGTGTTTTCTTAACGAGGTGCAGCAGTGTCAGTCCCTGAAAATGTTGAGGTGCCTTGCCTCCCTGGAAGCTCCTGGGACGTGATTGGTGTGGGTGATTATTGTTACTCTTTCAGATGCTCGATGCTGCCCCTTTGCACTGGATTATGAAAGGATGCATACTTTTTGGGAATAAAATGCGCGCATAAAAGCGGCACATACGAGTAACTCGTTAACTACGGTGTGTGAGCTAGGAACTGAGTACCTATGTGGATAGGCTAGTGGATCAGCATAGGCTGGAAAAGAAGTAGAGCTAACTTAGGCAGGGTAGAAACTTAAAACTGCAGATGGGTGGTGATAAGGAGTATTCCAGTGCAGTTTTTTAACTCCTGAAGGAAGTTGGTGGTTCACGTTGCGTATCCTTTTTGTTTTCTGATGTATTCCTCTTTTGTATCTGCAAGGTATAGTGTTTTTCATGTTGTAACATAAACTGAGAACAGATGCTGGATTTTGGGTATTAGTAGGCCACAATTTCTTGCACAAATCAAATTGGTTTGATGATTGTTATTGCTGGCTATTGAACAGTGAAAGCGCAGTGGTGGAACTGCATTTTTGGAGACTTGCAGAACCACATCTGTTGGTGAAGGTGTGGATTAGAGGTGAGCTGTGACTTCTGTCTCAAAGCCTTCCTTTTAGCTGTTCTGTTTGCTGTCTCTTCCTTCTGGTAGTCACAGAATTGCTATTTCATTTTACCACAGCAATGAATAGAACATAGGTGACCGTCTCAGCTGTTACGTGTTGTTCAGTTAATACAGTGCCTCATGTTGTCCCCAAACTTCATGGTCTTAAATGCAGAGCTGCTGCAGAAAGAGTGAGAAGTTTTCCTGTGTAAGGACTGTAGGTAGGACTTTGAATATACTTTACAGTATATTTTTTCAAATACAGTAGGTAGCCATAGGAGTTTGCTGCAACTAAAGAGGTTTCCTCTGTGACAGCAGTTTGCTTGCTGCTGTTTTGTTCATGTACTCTAGTGCTTGTTGTATACTTCGTGAGCTTCACATCTTAGCTGTGTGTAATGTGATTTTTGGTAACATTCATATGCAAACAGTATACTGTTTAGAATACTGAAATGTAATAAGCTGAAGTGAACAGAGGAGTGTGAGAGTCTGCATTTCAGAAGGTGCAGAAGGCAACTTTTCAAGTGGAAGATATAGCAACTGCATCTGTGTTTACGTACTTTGCTTGGCCTGAAGTTATCATGATGTTGTACCTTTTTTTTTTTTTTTGTAGGTTAGCTTGTTTGAAAGACCAAATGACCTCTCATCTGGCTTCAGTCCGAGTGTAAGCTCATTCGGTATGTGAAAGGCACTTCTGACTGGCATTTGGGGGAGTTGATCACTTGAGCAGTTTACAAGGTTAAAGGAAAACACAATATTATCATTGTGATATTTTAATGTCTCCCCTATGGAGTAGCAGCATCAAATTATAGAGAGAACATAATGAATATACTTTTTTTGACCTTCAACCTTTATTTATTTATTTATTTACTTACCTTTTTTTACTACTTCATTTATTTGTTTATAATACAATATATAACTTATACTGAGTCAAAGATAGCTTTGAATATTAACTCAGTTATTTTTTCTAATTCTAGGTACTGATGAATTTTTGAACAGACAGTGTCAACCAATGAGTAGTTTCGGTAGAGGAAGGAATTTTGCAGCCAAAGGTAACTTCCTCTAATGGCTGTAATTCTACTGGCTAGTCCTATATTATATATTAAATTTTGCTTATTAAGGTGCTCAGTTTTGTTGTATCAGAGCCAAATGAGTATTTGTGACTTGGAGAGTAATTCAGGTCCTTATTTCTGTATAATGTAGGCACTCAGTATCACCCCTTGGTTTTGACTGCACAACACAAAATACCCCACCGCATTTCCCAGAAGGCAGGACTCGACATCTGAAATTGATGTTTTGTTTACATCTTGCTTTGATTCTGTTCTGCCTGCGGAGGGGCATTTTTCTGATAGTTTTTTTGTCATGTAGTATAAAAGTCAAGCTGAGTATTAGTATTCGTATGTATGCTGTGTGAGGGACTATATCAGTTCTCTTCTGTGCAAGACCTGAAAGCTTGCTTTCTTTGGTATCCATGAAGCAGTATTCAGTCCCTGTGCTCCTACTGCTTGCAGTGGTGAGTGCCACACCTGTATGCAGTGCACATTGAGGAGGCAGCTTGGCAGTACTGCTTCATGTGCTTCCACCTGGTATGTACAATATACAGGGGCAGTGGGAGCTGCTGGCTAATTCTGTGTCAGTGGGATTGGTTATGAAACAAGGAAGATTGAAACTCTAGTCCTGGTCTAGGTTGGTTTATCAAAAGTTCTGGCCTGCAGAACAGCTGTGGAGCCACTCAGTGTTACGTTTATTGCATAGATTTAACCCCAGCTGGCATCTAAGCCCCACGTAGCTGCTTGCTCACTCTTACTGGTGGGATGGGATGAGAATTGAAGGAGTGAAAGTGAGACAACCCATGGATTGAGATTAAAGCAGTTTAATAGGTAACACAGGAGCTGCACATGCAAGCAAAACAAAGAATTCATTCACCACTTCCCACTGGCAGGCAGGTTCAACCTTTCCCACAAAAGCCGAGCTCTATCGCACATAGCTGTGGCTAAGAAGACATCTGAGCATCCCCTCTTTCCTTCTTTATCTGCTGAGTGTGATGTGATGCCATATGGGATGGATTGTCCCTGCAGCACTTGGGGTCAGCTGCTCTGGCTGTGTCCCCTCCCAGCTCTTTGTGCCCTCCAGCCTTCTCGTGGGTGGGGTGAGGAGCAGAAAAGGCCTTGACCCTGTGTGAGCACTGCTCAGTGATAGCTAAAACATCCCTGTGTTATCAACATGGTTTCCAGCACAAGTCCAAAACACAACCCCATATCAACTGCTGTGAAGAAAATTAACTTGACCCCAGTTAAACCCAGCACGGTTTATTCTTTCAAAAAATTCTCAACCATTTCTGCATCTTTTGGATCAATGCCCACTGTGGTAGGGAAATGCTAGGTTTGTTTGACTATGCAGATGGCAGCACTTTGTGCAGAGAAATGACGATGAGAAATTCTGCTGTAGACTCTCCAGCAATTGTGAAGTAACTCACAAACTGTATGTAAGGTCTGTAGTATTTATGGCTACTTACCTCTAGACTGTTTTTGCAGTGAACCTGTAAGATGTGATTTTGGTTTTTATTTCTTTATGTAATTGATTTGGAAAAACTCAAACGACGAACAAATTGGTATTCACCAAGCCTTGGTGGAGAGGGAACTACAGATGCTGTGGTAGGAGAACTTCTTGATGTCACGTAACAGCAGATTCTCTTTGTCAATACGATATGATAGAACAGATGTTCAGTTGAAGAATAAGGACTTAGGAGGAAATTCCAGTCTAACCTGGCTGCTTGGATCTTGAACAACACCTAAAACTGTCCAGTGTAAAATGAGAAATACCTTATTTGTGCATATGACTCTTTACTTCCTCTCCTTCCCCATCAGGAGAATGACTAAGGAAAGGGATTAGAAATAAAAATACACTAAATACTTGTCACTGCTGACGGAATAAGCAATTCTGAGTTATAAAAAAAAAAAGTACAAGTTGGTAGATCTGAAAGGCACATTTTCAAATCCTAACTCTGCAGGTACTGGTTATGAAAACTGATAAGGTTCAAATGCTGTCAGTGGCTTATGACCAAACCAGAGTTCTGAATGACAGAATCACAGAATCAGCTAGGTTGGAAAAGACCTCTGAGATGATGGAGTCCTACCTTTGACCCAACACCACCTTGTCTACTAGACTACGGCACTAAGTGCCGCATCCAGTCTTTCCTCAAACACCTCCAGAGACAGTGACTCTAGCACTTCCCTGGGCAGCCCATTCCAATGCCCAGTCACTCTCTCTGTAAAGAACTTCTTTCTAGTGTCTAACCCAAACCTCTCCTGGCTCAGCTTAAGGCTGTGCCTTCTTGTCCTATTGCTGGTCGCCTGGGAGAAGAGACCGATGCCCACCTGCCTACAAACTCCTTTCAAGTAATTGTAGAGAGTGATGAGGTCTCCCCTGAGCCTCCTCTTCTCCAGGCTAAACAACCCCAGCTCCCTCAGCTACTCCTCAAAGGACTTGTGCTCCAGACCCTTCACCAGTCTTGTTGCCCTTCTTTGATTTGCATCTGGATCAAAACCGAAGAGTTGAATGTTTGTGGCATATACGCATGTAAAGTGAGATACTTAGACCTAACGTTTGATTTATGTCTTGAAATCATACAGGAGAGCAGTACTCTTCTTGTCAGACTTTTTGGCAAAAAGTACTTTTTTTCTTCATTGTTTCATATGTTTAGGCAAATCACTTAGTTATATTATACTTTTTTTGTGGATTTATAAAACAAGGAACGGGAAGAATTAAAGGATGCTTGACCTGCACATGTGATATTAGGCAAATTAAATTATTGTGTTGTATGCTGCACTGCAGGTTTTCAAGAAAGAAACATAGAAGATGCGAATACACAAAATAGAGGATCTAAAGGATTCCATGGTGGCTTTGGACAAGGTAAAAGTAAGTTTTTTGTATTGACTAGTTTTTGTATGGGAACACTATACATATTGCCATCCTTTCTGGGTTTGCTTGCTCCCTGAGAACTGTACAAGGGTGAGTGCTGTGAAATGGCTTCTGTTCTTCATCCAGGTAAAAAACCCTTGGTCTGCACATGCAGAATTGTCAAACTAAGTTGTTGTTTGCTGTGCTGTACTCCAGGTTTTCAAGGAAGAAATGCTGCAGAAGGTTCTAGTACTCATACAAAAAATAAAGGGTTTAAAGGATTTCATGGTGACTTTGGACAATGTGAGAGTAAGTGTTTGAGGTGTTTTTTATATTAACTTTGTTTGTATGGGAACAGCATACAATTGGCCATTCTTTCTGGGTTTGCTTGCTCTGTGAGAACTACCAGTACAAGGGTGAAAGCTACAAAATGGCTTCTGTTCTTCAGCTGTTTGTGGCTATGTTGTGGAAGAGGAATGGGGTCTTTAGGAAAATGGTATCACTGAGCATAATACAGTATAGGTTGGAGTTAACAAAGAATCTGTTGGGAGCGTTGCACTGCAGATTTCTTGGAGTAAATATTACTAGCTTTAATTGTAGTATTTCCTTATACTAATTTTATACTCTATATCTACTACACTGTCTAGATGGGCAGAGGAACATGTCTCAGTCTGGAATTCTTGGCTCTACAGAAAAAGGAACATTTACAGATGGTACAGGTAAGACTTTCTAATATGTAGGGGTGAACCCTTCAGACTTGTTCAGTGGTGATTTGTGGCAATGCTGTTCCTTGTTAGCTTGAATGGGTCTTTGAGCAACCTGATCTAGTGGATGGCACCCTTGCCCATGGCAGGGGGATTGTAACTAGGTGATCTTTAAGGTCCCTTCCAACCCAAACCATTCAGTGATTAGAATGCATTTTCAGCGGTGCTCCTTAATATATGAAGAATAATTGATTTGCCCCTATGTGAGTTAGTTCAAGCTAAGTTTTTCAGATTTTTAGTTCAAATAATGATTTTTAGGAAGTGTTTACAGAGGCAGTGTGCTAATTCCTCTAGTGAATGTAACTGCATCCTTAACAATGCGTCCTTTAAAAAAACAAGTTACTGCTTTACAAAACCAGCATGGTTTATTCTTTCAGAAAATTCTCAACCATTTCTGCATCTTTTGGATTGATGCCCACTGTGGTAGGGAAATGCTAGGTTTGTTTGACTATGCAGGTGGCAGCACTTTGTGCAGAGAAATGATGATGAGAAATTCTGCTGTAGACTCTCCAACAGTTGTGAAGTAACTCACAAACTGTATGTAGGGTCTGTAGTATTTATGGCTACTTACCTCTAGACTGTTTTTGCAGTGAGCCTTTTAAGATGTGATTTTGGTTTTTATTTCTTTATGTAATTGATTTGGAAAAACTCAAACGATGAACAAATTGGTATTCACCAAGCCTTGGTGGAGAAGGAACTACAGATGCTGTGGTAGGAGAACTTCTTGATGTCACGTAACAGCAGATTCTCTTTGTTATTTTGATATAATAGACCAGCTGAATACTTTTTGGCAAAAAAGTATTTATTGTTTTTGTTTTTTTCATATGTTTAGGTAAATCAGTTATATTGTACTTTTTATGTGAATTAATAAGGAATAAGGAGAACAATTTCTGAATAAAAGGTGCTTGATCTGCACATGCGAAATTAGGCAAACTAAGTTATTATGTTCTGTGCTGCGCTGCAGGTTTTCAAGAAAGAAACGTTGTAAAAGATTTTGGTACACGAAATAGGGGGTCCAAAGGATTTCATGATGGCTTTGGGCAAGGTGAGAGTAAGTTTTTCGTATTGACTGGTTTGTATGGGAACAACATACATTGGCCATTCTTTCTGGGTTTGCTTGCTCCCTGAGAACTGCCAGTACAAGGGTGAAAGCTATGAAATGTTTTCTGTTCTTTGGCTGTATTGTGGAACATAGGTGATGTCTTTACAAAATAACATTACTGGAAATAATACATCATAGATTGGAGTTAACAAAGGATCTGTTGCACTGCAGATTTCTTGGAGTAAATAGTACTGGTGTCAGTCATATTTCATTATACAAATTTTATACCCTGTCCATTACTTACAGGTATTAATAATGGGCGAAGGGTCATACCTCAGTCTGGAACTCCTGGCTCTAGAGAAAAAGGGACATTTACAGATGGTGCAGGTGAGACTTTTAGTATTGGTGGTGAACCTTTCAGATTTGTCATTGGTGGTTTGTGGCAATGCAGTTCCTTCCTAGCTCTGCTAAATACTGTCGTTCTGATTGTTCTCCCTGTTAAGAACCTTTTGCAAATGTTAGAGATCTTGTTTGTATGCCTGCAAAAGACATGCTTGTAATTTCTATGAATTTTAGTGATTGGATTTTCAAAGCTATTGTCTTCCATAATTTTTTTTCTTGGTCTTTCTCCTACTGGTTGAGTTAATGTACAGTGAAGCAGAGGTGCTAGTCCCAAAATTGGAAGTAAGCCTTAAGAACTTGCTCAGTTTTGAAACAGTCACTCTAGACTCTTTTTTTTTTTTTCCCTTCCTATAAGTGGAAGTATTTTAAGTTTGTCCAGACTGACACGTAAGGTGTGTAGCTCAGAGAGACCAGCTATTCCTGATTAAACTTTATATTGATTTTGGTTTGTTTGTTTGTTTGTTTGTTTTCTACAAGGGATTTTTCCCTCACGGTCCTGTATTCTGTTGCCACTGATGCTGCTATACCTTTTTATCTGTATGTTGTGCTGTCTTAGAGCATAGTAATGTTTCATTCACAGAAATACCATAATTCAAATTAGAAATGCCATTAAGCCAGTGTAATGGTTAGTGGATGGCTGATATTCTCCATGAAAGAACATTTTGTGTGATAGTGGTAAAAGAATTTTTCATAGTAAAAAGGATGGATAAATGATTCTTTACTCAGAGGGTAGTGAAGCGCTGGGACAAATTACCCAGAGAAGTTGTGGATACCCTATCCCTGGAAGTGTTAAAGGCCAGGCTGGGTGAGGCGTTGAGCAACCTGATGTAATGGGTGGTATCCCTGCCTATGGCAGAGATGTTGGAACTAGATGATCTTTAAGGTCCCTTCCAACCCCAAACATTCTGTGATTCAGTAATTAGTATATGTTTTCAGAAGTGCTCCTTAATATCCAAAGAACAATTGATTTGCCTCTATTTGACTTAGTTCAAGCTACGTTTTTCAGATTTTTAGTTCAGATAATGATTTTTAGGAACTGAAATGTTTATAGAAGCAACATGGTAATGCTCCTAGTGGACATAATGCATCCTTAATACAGGATTGTAATTCCTTTTTCATGACCACAGGGTAAACTGTTAGCATGTGAAGACTGTTTTGGTTATTGGTACGCAACAGTTGCACCTGTCTGTATAGAAGTTCATGTGGAAAGATAGTTCTTCATAAGGAGTAGTTTGTTGCCTGGGAAGTATGTCCCTGGATTCTTAAGAGCATGTGTCTGGATGATAGAGGATTTTTGTGACCAGCTCTTGAAAGTGAGGTCCTTAAACAAATGTGAGACAAGAATGCTTTACAGAAGTCTGACTTCATTTGCGAGTGTTAGGTCTAGTAGTATAAAACTAAGTTCTGATAGAGTCAATTTATGGAATTTTGTATCTTCCTGGAAAGTGGAGGGAAATCCAAATGACACCTCACTGAACTTAACTTCAGTAGCTCCATACTTAAAATAGTTTTAGTTTTCTTGATACTGTTCATGAACTTAAGTAGTTCTGTTCTTAAGGTCCGAAGGTGACGTATGTGCCCCCTCCTCCACCTGATGATGAACAAGCCATCTTTGCACGTTATGAGACAGGAATGAATTTTGACAAGTATGATGAAAATATTGTCGAAGTGTCAGGACTGGACCCTCCAGCAGCATTAATGGTTAGTGAACTGGTTAATTGCAGAGTTTGCTGAGCATGATTTTGCAAGGGTGTTTAATTTACTGAGTTTAATATTGGCTGCTAATGAAAATACTAATAAAAATTTGGATTATTGCAGATGGTATGATGTTGGAAGGAGGTGCTGCCCATTTGAAAGATACAAATTTGAATTCACAGTAATATTGACAGACTACATAAATGTTCCAGAGAAAATAATACTGCATGTATAGGAAAAATAGTAATTGAATTGCAGAGGAATACCAGTTTAGATATTGAAAGAAAGAGGTCTTTGGCAGCAGTTGCTGGGAAGGCTGGTAGAGTTATCTTACTAACGTTTGTTACTGGGGGATCTTTAATAATGTAAATGAATGTGTGTTGGAGAAGTATTGATTTGGACAGAGAAGTGTTCGGAAGTATTTCTATCCCTGTTCTCTGTGGCTGTAGTTTATTGTTTAACATACAGCTTTGCTGCTTCTCCATATGGGTGGCTAGTGTTTAAAAAAAAAAAGAAAAAAAAGCCCTTTCTAGGGAAAAGAAAGAGGAAAGAAGTGCCAAGGGGTTAGTAGCACCTGTGTTGAAAGGGAGGATACAGAGGTATTTTCACCATCCGTCTTCTGAAAGGTTTTTTCACTGAAGTTAAAGTGATTTTTGTCATACATGATGCTTTTTGGTAGAAATGTTGCTTTAGCTCCCCTTACTGTTTTTAGCACAGAAACTGTGTGTATCTCCTACATGAAATGAAACCGAACAGTTTAAGTTTGTTTTCGTGGCGTGCTATGATATGAGTTTACCTGCTTGAATCCAGACGTATGGCTTCTGAGCAGTTTTCTCTCACAGCTGATACACCAGCTGAAAGTCTTCTGTCCTACAAAGTTACTTGAATGGCATGAGCAGACTTAAGAGACCTTTGGAACTTTTACCTGTAGGAACCTTGGCAATCTAGATGACTGGTGAGACTCTTTAAAGTTAATTTTTGGATGTCTGCATCCTGTGGTAAGTTTCTCTGACTTTCTAACTTCTGTGATTGTGTAATAACCTGATTTTTTTCTGTTACAGAGCTTTGCAGATGCTAACATATCCCATACTTTAACTGTGAACATTGCTAAAGCTGGATACTCTAAACCTACTCCAGTGCAGAAGTACAGCATTCCTATTGTACTGGCAGGACGGGATTTAATGGCATGTGCCCAGACAGGATCAGGAAAAACTGTAAGCATTATGTATACTGCTGCGACTGTGAACTTTGAGGTGGATGATTTCAGTCTTCCATGTGCCAGATACTTCACAGCTTGTTATCTAGTAATTTAACACTTGGATAGCAATGGCAGGTGTACTATTAAGCACAGATACAAATGATGTCACGTTTTGGGTTGGATTTCCTTTTAGTTTCAGTGAACTACTGTCTTGATACAGTGGGCCACCCTTCAGGGCTGCAGATACAGATTCAGAAATATAGGCAGGCATTCCTAGACACTGCTTATGTGAAAACTCAGCAGTTGAAAGTATGGAGTTCTTTCAGTGTTGTGTGGAGTTTTGTCGAGTGTTTTTTGGTGGTGGTTGTTTTTTTTTTTTATTGATTGGTTGGTTGGTGTGTTTGTTTTCTATGTTTTTGTGGGTGGTTTGGGGGGTGTTTGAGAACTTAGCCAGATTGTAACAGGGTGTTGTGCTAGTTTGTGACACTTGGTTTGGTCAAGTCTGATCTGCACTGAACTTGGTTTTAGGTAATTCAGTATTAATCATGGAACAGCGTTAAGAGTTGATACTAAGTTGAAAGTTGTCTCAACTTATTACACTGCATAAGGTACCCAAATCTAACCACGGACAGCTGATGTATGAGAATGTTTGGCTATGAAGTGTAGCTTTTTGCTGTTCAGTGTAATTGTAGAATCTTGGGTTTGATGTAACATAGCTTACTGCTTATTTCTTCTGGTAAACCTCTTCTGTTTGTAGAAAGGGAAATGTCCAATGCTTATGCTTTAAATATTCTGAATGCTTTTGGGACTGCTGTACAGATGCAGTTTCGGGGTTAACTAGTCTTATATAGCAGTACATGTGCTGGTGTAGTGCAGCTGTGTTGCAAAGTGATCTGCCATTCTAGTAGTCTGCAGAATGTTGATGCATAGTTACTTTACGGACCTTCTGATAATAATCTAGTTTGTAAGTACATGTTAAGGACCTGTTTTGATCCTGGGTACAGAATTATCAGTGTATGTCATCAATGTATGGAACTACCTGAAGAACTCAGAAGTTAGCCACTGCATGCCTGTGTTGCTGTGTTACTAAACTCTTAAGATCTAGAGAAATACTTTCATACTGCTTAAATGAGGAGAAATAAGTTTTCATGTCCTGTAGTGCATTCAGGTCAGTCCTTTTGCAGTCTCATTTCCTTGATTGTGTGCACTATCATTCAAGCTTTAAGATTGATATACAGCTTTTAGCATGACTGATGAAAGCTAAACAGCATAAATACTGCTGTTTTGTTGGTTTTTGTTTTTTTTTTCCTAGGCAGCTTTTCTTGTACCAATTGTGGCCCAAATGATGAGAGATGGTGTAACTGCCAGTAGCTTTAAACAGCAGCAAGAACCAGAATGTATTATTACTGGCCCAACTAGAGAACTAGTAAATCAGATCTTCCTAGAAGCAAGGAAATTTGTGTATGGGTAAGCTTTTGCACTATTGCCTGGTATTAATTATTACTTTGCCTAAATCAACAGTAATTGGTTTTTTTTTTTCATAAATACTTGCAAAAATTTTTTTGTACCAATCAAATTATTGAAAACATTGAGTTCAGATTATAATGAGTTCAAATTTTAATACTAGCCAGCAGGTTTCTTACTATATGGCTAGGGATTTAAATTCCTAATCTTCCTGGTATTGGGGTGGGTGGGTGAATGGAAGGCCTAGATCAGCTTGAAGAGGAGATAAGTACTAAACTTCTGTCACTTACTGATGGGAAAAATGAAACTTCTTTCATGAAGTGTTAAGAAAACTTTCTTTTCTGACCATCCAGGAGCCACTCCGGCAGTCACAGTCACACCCACCAGGGATTTTACTGCTGTGACCAAAGCCCCTTTGCAGTGGGTGGTTCCAGTGACCCCATGGGTACCTCACTTGACTCCCAACACATAGCACTCAGTCAGACAAGGTTTCCACACTAACTTGACCCCAGGTTTCCCATGGCAGAGTCTCAGATCTCTGGTTTCTTTAAGTAATTTAACTTGTGCAGCAACATGCAACAGCTCAAGCTGGATGTCTTCACAAAGGGACCCCTAAACAAGGGAATCCCTGGGCTTTTATACACTCACAGTGTATGTACATGATATTCTGGAATCTTTTTACTGAGTTGTTGGTTCCTGCTGAGTCTCTGTATCAGGTCACCTGGCTAATGGTGCAGGTCCCTGTGCCCTTTGTGAAGCAGAGTTGGTCCCCAGTTCATGGCCTTTTGCTTGGGCTCCAGCCATTTCCAGCCACTCAGAGCTCAGTCTGCAGCTCACACTGCAACAGCACACTGAGCTACCTGCACTAGATTTATTCTTCAACATGAAGGAACTGATTAACTTACCCTATGTAATTTATACTTGCTTTATTTTCATCTTCATAAGAACAGAGGTGTGTTAGGGGTTTTAGTTAACTTTCAGTGATGGTTTCTAGTAACTCTTACTTCCCTGTGTTTCTGGTCTTCGACAGACATTTCACAGCTCAAGGAAACTCTTCTAGCTTTCAAAACAGAACAAAAGATCTAAACCTGTCATTTAAACTTTGGATGTTGTATGACAATACATTTGTACTAGTTTTGTCATTGATCTTTCCACTCCTAAGTAATAGGTTTCACCAGTGCACAGAATAGAATTAAATCTATTGTCTGTGACAGTTTGTTGCTGTTTGGAGGTGCAATGCAGAACATCATCAGTGCAAAATCTGGTGGGGTAAATCAATACTTGGCTTTGTTCAAGCAAACTTAGGCTTGGAGGCTGTCTGCCTTTGAAAAGTAGCATCATGTTTGCCTATGTACTTACTAAGCATGTTATTAAGAACAGCTTCTTAATCTGAAACTCTTCTAATGTTGTAGCTAAACAAAGTTTAGCTGTCCATCATCATTGTAGCTAATTCTGTTCACCTAGATACAGATGATTTCACAATAAAATAGCTTCTGAATCTAGAAAGCTTCTGCTGCAGCTGGCCTCCAGTAAAAACAAGATAACCTCTGTTTGGGGGGCAGTCAAGCAGTATCAGGATGTGAATCTGTTGTCTCTAAAGAATTGCATGCATATTGCTCAGTTCAGATTTATGATGGTCTTAAGCTCTTTAGTTTAATTCACAAATAGGAATATGAAATATATGTAAAAGTGGATAAATATTGGAATTGTAGAAGTCCCCAAAGCATTGCTATTCTTGACTAAAACTTTCTGAAGAGTTTTTATTAACTCTGGTAAAAATTGTTTATGTGTTTATGTGTTCAGTGTTGCTGCATATGAAGCTGAGTTAGTATCTTCAAGAAAAGACAGTTTGAATTTGAGTATAAAAATACTTGTTGCATGCATGTAAAAACTCATTGTGTGCATATAAAGACCTTAGCAAAAGGTTATAAAGGAGAGCTTGTAGACTTGTTTCACAGCTGTATAAGATAGTTCTTGCTTGAAGAGGTGGTTTTCTACAGAAGAGTATCTGGTGTTGCTGTACTTGGTGGATCTACCCAGAAAGCTTAGTGAGAAGAACACTGAGTAGTGTAGTCTTCAAGTGGATTTGCAGTCTAATCCTTGTGTCACACACAGCGTGATTAGTTGCTTTACAAAGATTCTGTCTGTGTATTTTAAGATCTGCAGAGATTACTTTTGAAGCTCTAGAGGCATATAGAGAGGTGGTTCTGCTTTTCCTAAGTGTGCTGTATAAAAGGGAACAAAGTCTAACACCGTTTTGGCTGTGTTAGTGTTAGTAGCTCTCAGCTTAAGCGAGAGGGAAGAATGCAGGTGAAATCAAGAGTTCATTCCAAGCAGGCCATCTTGGCAGCCTCTGTTACACAGTGAGAATGGGAACTTCAAGCTTACAGTGAGTGAATTCCTGTTTTTTTGAGTCCTTTTGGAGCGAGCTGTATGGAAAAGGAATTAAACCACTCTAAGCTTGTTTGTGGTAGATCTGATTATTTTTTACAATTTTTCCTGAAACAATACTGTTTGCATACTGACATAATTAATCCGAACTTTATTCTATGTAACAGAACTTGTATAAGGCCTGTTGTGGTCTATGGAGGTACACAAATAGGCCATTCAGTTCATCAGGTTATGCAAGGCTGCAATATACTATGTGCCACTCCAGGAAGGCTTCTAGACATCATTGGAAGAGGAAAGGTAAGATCTTAAAATTTAATGTGAATTCCCTAAGCACTCTTACCTTTTTTACCTACTGGTTTTTGTTCTTCAAATTTGATAGAAGCAGAGATAGATATTCTAAGACAAGGTCACTTGTATTTCAGTGCCTGTACAAAGGCAGCATACTGATTGGTTTTCTATGGCTATAAGTTCCTTGAGGTTTTTGAAAGAATAGCCTGAGTGTAGATCTCTTCGGTTCCTTTCAGAGCCAACTGGAAAATATCAGTCTAAATCAAAGTGACTGCAGTGTTCGTGGCAATAAAGTTTCATGGTTTAAATACATGGAATAGCTTTGCCTAGTTCTTTTGGAAAATTCTGTAGCAGATTTTCACTTACTGTCTTGGTTTTTTTGCTACGATGGCTTTTATCTAACTATATTTTCATAGCAATTTTATTAAAAATACAAAAAATTCCAGTGTAATACTGTATTTTGAATTTTTATTTTTTCCAGCCATTGTAAATTCAAATCCAAATTGATACACATTATATTGGTGACTCAATGATGTTGCACTGGACAAATGAAGTTTGGAAAAACATTTCCTGGTAATAAACTGGAGATTAGTTTTCTACTGTTGTCAGGCTTTTAATCAAAGTGATTGGTCTTGGTCAGGACCAGCAAAGTTGAACTGTCCTTAATAATACTTTCTGACATAATTTATTTTTTCAGAACAAAAGGTTTTCTTGAGAATGTGTGAGGGTTGTATGAGAGAACCTAAAACTCCAAGCATAATTCCAAAATAGATGTGCTTGACTAATAGTTGATCTTCAGGTTCTATCTCAGTTTATATTGCTGAACCAAGTTCTGAAGCACTTCATCGTGTGCATAGTATTAGAATTAGGACAAATTAAAAAGTTGGGGTTGAGATGCAAATAAATATTTTGATTCGTGAATAATTAACTTTCGTTTTTTAGTAACTTCTACTTGAAAGAAATAAGTAAAAGATGGATTTTACCAGTTAGGAAATCTTGTAAGTATATGCTGTCAGTGAACCAATACTGTTCTTCTTTGACTGAAATACTTGCAGATTAGTTTGCATAATGTGAAATATTTGGTGCTAGATGAAGCAGACCGCATGCTTGATATGGGTTTTGGCTCAGAGATGAAGAAGCTGATTTCTTTCCCAGACATGCCACAAAAAGACAAACGCCAGACACTAATGTTTAGTGCCACATTCCCTGAAGAAGTTCAGAGGTGAGTAAAGTAAAAATAGAAACATATGTGAAGATGTACAGAATTAAATAACTGAAGAGTTAAGAATACTCCTTATATTTCTGGGCTTCAACAAGTGCACATTGCTGGGTCATATCCAGCTTCTCATCCACCAGCAACCCTAAGTCTTTCTCCTTAGGGCTAGTCTTGATCCATTTTTCTGTCCAGCCTGTACTTCATCCTGTCCTATTGAATCATGTAAAAGGTTTCTCTTCCTCTCTTTTATGAGGCCCCTTTAGGTACTGGAAGGCTGCAGTAAGGTCTCCCCAGAGCCTTCTCTTCTGAGAGGCCTGACCAACTCCAGCTCCTCAGCTCTCTCAAGCTTGCTTCACAGGAGAGGTGCTCCAGTTCTGTGGTCATCTTTGTGGCCTCCTCTGGACCTGCTCTAACAGGTCCATGTCTGTCTTGTGCTGAAGAACCCAGAGCTGTACACAGCACTCTAGGTGGGATCTCATGAAGACAGTGTCATAATCACCTCCCTCAACCTGCTGGTCATATTTCTTTTCATGCAGCCCAGGATGTGGTTGGAGTTCTGAACCCAAACAGTGCAGACATTTTTAGCTTTTTGAAAAATGCACATATGACTGCTTGTGTTATCCCTGACTAGACAGAGAATAAAAATATTTGTTGTAAGGGTTGCTTATTGTAAATGAAAGTACTTGATCTTAAAGCAAAAATAATCTACGTAATAGACTTCATGTTGCTCAATTTTGTCTCTTTTTAAGGCTGGCTGGTGAATTTTTGAAAACTGATTTTTTATTTGTTGTTGTCGGGCATGTGGGTGGAGCATGCAGCGATGTTCAGCAAAATATTCTTCAGGTTTCTCAGTATCTCAAGAGAGATAAACTGATGGAAATTCTACGCAGCATAGGTAATTTTCCTTGTTGTTAATTGTTTACCAGGAAAGAAAAATTGCTTGGTTTTAAACTTTGTTTAAAAGGTCATGATTCTGTGATTTTATTGTGACATGCTTTACAAGACTACTGATGAAACTTGAAGTGGAACTTCAGAATTTCCAAGTTTTTAGGCATATTGTGTTACAGATACTTCATAAATTCACACAATACTTTTGATTGGAAGGGACCTCTGAAGGTCATTGAATCTAATCAAATACCCAGTATTCGTCAATGTCTCATCTATTGAGTACTAGCAGATAAGCGTCCTAGATGGTTTTCTTCTTTATATGGTCAGTTACAATTCTTTAGAGGCCCCCTGGTGGTCTAGTGGTTAGGATGCGGCGCTCTCACCGCCGCGACCCGGGTTCGATTCCCGGTCAGGGAACTCCTCCAGGCAGATGGAGCTCGTCAGCCCTGTAAGGCAATCCATCTAAGAGAAGGTCACTCTAAACAAACCTGCATCCTGAGGACCTCACTGCCATCATCCGTGCTCGCTCGGCCCCGGCAGATGAACCTCAGGATTAAAGGGTGGGCTCAGTTCAGCGCACACTGTGTCTCACCTAAAAAATCCACTGCGCAGGCTCGAAGGGTAAAGACCTTTCCCAAATCTTCGTTCGCAAAGACTGGCCATGAGTGAGTGAGAGTGACAATTCTTTAGTATCTGGAGGTGTTATCTCAAGATTATAGGTGTATTAAAATTCTTACCTGAATGTTTGGGCCTGTATTTTGTAAGTGACTGGGATTCTTTCATTTTTGTTCTGAATTTATCTTACGTTTTAATGCTGAAAACTGGAACTGAGTTTGGAATTAAAATGTAGTTTGTCCGCCTTGCTGTTCAGTGCTCAGGATGGCGTGCTGCTCTTAGCTTCATACTGTAGAAAGGGAGTACTTGCTTCTCAGAGAGCAACATTAATTTCTTCCTTTTATTGAGGAGAAAAATGGAAGGCACATGTCTTCACAGGTTTCTGTATTGATCTAGAAATCGATCAGTTGAGTTTAATTAGTTCAACACAATCAAGAAATTACAATATGTGCGTATATATTAGGTGTTTATATAAGTAAGTGCAACTCTAAATAGTGAAGTGCATCATGTTTTGAACTGTAGTGGCTCTGAACTTCTGTTCAACATAGGTAATGAGCGAACCATGGTGTTTGTGGACACAAAGAAAAAAGCAGACTTCATTGCGTGCTTTCTTTGTCAAGAAAATATACCAGCCACTAGCATCCATGGGTAAGTATTTTTAAAGTGAAAGTCACCTAATACTATTGTGAGAAGCTTTTATTGAGAACATGGGTTTTGCCACATCTGTGGTTTAGCTTGCAGTGTTTCACATAGTCCTGTAATTCTCAGTAACTCTGCCCAATGGAGAATGTAAAGCTTCTAGATGCTGGTTCTCACAGCATTTGCTGGGCATACATCTTTTTGGTTGACCAAGTGCTGTGTTTGAACTGGAGAATCTTTTATGCCTACTGCTTAGAAAATCAGTATAATAAATTCTTACAATCAGCTGTTCTTCATGTGTAGTTTTTGCCATAATTTCCGTAACCAAAACCAGAACTTTTGCTGTTACTGGTGAGATGATGTTCATAAATGCGAGTGGCAGTTGTGGACCTTTCACTCTGTCTTAGAGCTTCCTCAAAATGATAAGTCACATGCCATACAGATTTCTGATGCTGTCATTTCTGCCTCTATGATGTGTTCATGGACTTAGCATTTGTATGGAGATAGATCTAAAGAAAAGATGCTTCTAACTTGTGTTAATAGTCCACTTATTAGTGTTGCATACCTGAACAGATTCTGAGAAACAAAACTGAAGTAGGTTCTGATTCCAGGTAAAAACACGTCTAAGATGATGTGTCTTTCACATCATGAGCTGGAATGAAGTTTTCTGGTTTGTTTTTTTTTTTTATCCTAGTGGCCTGTAGCACATTGAAAATATAATTTTGTAGTGGTTTTTGTATTAGGAGGAAGGGACTTGAATTTTTGCCAATAAAATTATGTTATGGGCAGTGTTCTGACAGATGTCAGAACATCAAGGTTGTAGAGGGGTTAAAATGATCTTATTACACAGATACGAGATGTTTATGTGTACCCTGTGGCCTGTCAGATGTATAGATGTGTGAAAGTCATATTGAGAAGGTCTGGCCTTCTGTTCTTGGCTAGTCTGAATTGCTATCCCACAAGTTCCTTATGTGAGAGGAGGTTCTTAACACATTTCTGTAGAAACACTGCACTGTGAGTTAAAGACACTTGAATAACTGGTTCAGTGGAAGCGTCATGAATGTTAGTGGTTTCTGATTCACTTTACCCTTTTGAGTTGAAGTTAGGATGGTTACTCTTCTCTGGAATAGTGGTCATACTAGACTTCACTAAATATCCCGTGTTAAGATCCCAGAGAGTACTGTTTAGGTTTCTAATTTGTTTCCTCATTTGGACAACAAAGAGTGTGAGTGAAACTCTGATCCACAGTAGTTAAGTACTGGATGATCTGTAAATACTCTTTAAACATGCAAACCCCAGAGCAAATATGGTTTTCTTGGCATGATGATAAACAGAAGACAAGTTCTTTACTGTTGGCTGGCCACATTTTTTAGTATATCTGAAAAATGCGGGAGTCTAGGTAGACTTAGTTACTCTGACTCCCTGCTACAAAGCTGTAGGAGAAGGCCTTCTAACTATGGCTTGAAGAATCAACCAATTAAACAAGTGAATCTTGTTAGGGAGGCAGTTTGATGCATGATTATGTCTGATACTTTAAAAAACCTCAGTGTATCTAGAGACTTAAGTTAAAGCAGTTGCTAATCAGTTAAAAATTCAGAAAACCTGAATTGGTACTATATGTGGGTTGTTCGGGTTTTTTTTTTGTTTTGTGTCTGTTGTCCCCCACAAGGACTACATCTATCCATGAATCATGACATTTAAAGTGTATCTTAAATAATACTGTAGATCTTTTGAGACATCTGTTCTAACCATTGCTTTCTTTGTAGAGATAGAGAGCAGAGAGAGAGAGAAATAGCCCTTCAGGATTTTCGTTCTGGAAAATGTCCAGTTCTTGTGGCAACCTCAGTGGCAGCAAGAGGTCTGGACATCGAAAGTGTTCAGCATGTTATTAATTTTGATCTTCCTTCCACCATTGAGGAGTACGTACACAGAATTGGACGAACTGGCCGCTGTGGAAATACAGGGAAAGCGGTTTGCTTCTTTGATAATGATTCGGATGGCCATCTTGCACAGTCTCTAATTAAAGTGCTTTCAGACGTAAGTTTCAAATCTTACTGCTTAACTTTCTCTGCTCTTTGGGATTTTGCTTTAATGTACTGAGCAACTGTTAGGTCTTTGGAACAGCTAGAGAACTCCTGAATTGGTAAAGCAGTCAAAGTCTTTAAATTCTCTTTCTTAATTATGTAGGCCCAGCAGGAAGTTCCTCTTTGGTTGACAGAAGTTGCTTTTGAGTCTGAAAGAGGAAGACTCTCGGTTAATGTCCAAAAGGTAGGTTTAGAAATGAACTGAAAGTCTTGACTTTTAGAACTTTGTCTTAGTGAAAAAGTGTGCTTAGCCATATATATCGTGAGTAATGCCACTGAAACTGTTTTGACTGTAACTGCATCCCTTTTTTTAGTTGTGCATCTTCAAAGAATTCCAAAGAATTACTGAAACTAATTTCAGACAACTTGCTTGACTTGGACTCTTAACGGTGTGGCCTGTTGTGTGCCTTACTCTTGATCTGTAGTGTCAAGAATTAGTCTGTGGAAGACAGGTTTGTGCAAAATATGCCAAGGCTGTAGTTCCAGAAATTTCTCTACTACCCATGTAAAATGGGAGCATATAGTTGCTGATCATACAGTTACTGCTTGCTGTAAATCACTCAGTCAGGTAACTTGTTGACTAAAATCTCAGTTAATTGTAGTTAGATAAATGCCCCAGTCTGGTCCATGTCAAAGTTGTTCTTAATATCTGTGATGAGGAGAAGCCTTCTAGTCTAATGGTGTTTTAAAATACAGCTTGAATAAAGGAGAAAGCCTCTATGGCATAGCTCTCAAATCACTCTGCATTTAATATTTTAGGATTTAAATTCTGTGCTTACTCCTATTTTGAATGAAATTCAAATTTTCAACTGATGTTTGTTACTTAATTACCTTTATCTAATTGGATTTTAACCAAAAGCCTTTCCTTCATCTGTTACTTCCAGTAAGAACTTTATCACATCTCAGTTGTATTCCAAATGTTGATACTTTCTTAGAGACCATGGTAGAAGTAATTGCTCTCACTTCTTAGATGGTGTCTGAAGCTTGAGTTCAAGCTCAGACCCTTCCTTTCATTAATTATCTTTTTCCATACCGTAATTACTGAAAGTACTGAGAAGTTTGGGTGTTTTTTACTTGCCTGGCTAGTTCCCTAATCAGATCTGAGTAATTTTTCTTTACATCTTTATGGGATCTCAGTTATACAAACTTTACTTCATTCTCACACTTGAAGCTTTAGTGGATCTTTTCCTGTTTATTCCTTTTCAAGGACACTTTTTTCATTTTTATAGATTGCTTTCAAAAGTGGATCTCACTAGATTCTTCCAAATACACATCTTCAGCCTTTGTGTAATGTCTCCCAGTGTTTCATGAAATCTGTAATTTTCTAGGTCCAAGTCCTTTATGTCCTTTATAACCTCTGAGCTACCAAATCTAACTGTTGCCCAAGGATATGTGTGAATACAATATTTTCAGATGAAATCTCTCTGCCTGCATTGGGAATACTGTCCTTGATATCACATATATACAGTGCACCAGCTCTTGAGTTGGAGATCATGAGGTTCTAATTCTTTTGAGATCATCTGATGTCAGTCTGACAGAAACTGTGCATTTGTAACCAGTCCTATTTTTTTTCTTTCAAATGAACTATTAAAGCTGGGTTTTGCTGCTTTACTTTTATTGAAAGAAAGTCTTATCTAATGTTCAGTAAGGATCCTCATGCCCTTTCTCTTGGAGAAGAAAGGTAATATTAATGTTTTTATAATATTCACTTTCAAAGGGAATGCATAGAAGGGCCATTCGATAATCAAATGGTGAATTTGAAAGCGGAATCTGTTGGAAGATCTTATCTGATTATTTTGGGATGATCTTATAGGTGACCGGACTTCAGTGTTTTGTTTTTTTAAAAGGCATTTGCTGAGAAAGTAATTCAGTCACTTTTATGTAAGAAATTGAGAAGGAAGTTTTTTCCCACAGTTGTATGAACTGATTTGTTTTGGGTAAGAAAAGATGTTGGGATGTGAACTTCAGTAAGTGTTACTACCACACCTGATGAAATCTGAGGTTGATTAAACTGCATTAGTTTCACACTGGGGTCCAAAAACCTTGTATATAGAAGGTTCATGATAAAAACTATTTAAAAGTGGTGTTCAGATACATTGAGACACGAACGCAGGAAGCTGAAATAGTTTTGCAGTGACTTTTACCATTAAATAATTGAAAGTGGTTGGGATGATTCTAAATTAGGACCTGTTCTGTTTCCTAGAATAACAGAGGTAGAGGCAACATGAACCCAGGAGAAATGAAGATGAAGTATTCTGCAAGTGAAGTTGAGTCATGGGATTAAAACTATTTTATCCCAAACTGGTTTATATTCTGTTGCGCTGTAAATGAAATGTTGCATGGGAAGATAGTCTTGTGGAGACCTAGTTTGGGAAAGTACTTTTTAAAAGGGTTCACTTGAACTTTGTCCCTTTTTTGTAACATGTCAGTTAAAAAGTTTGAATCTTGTGTTGTGATGACTAAAAGATCTGTTGAACACCTCTTAAGCGATTACTTAATAGAAATTTGAGTTCTCTTTGAATGTAGCCTCTGTATCAGATATTACAGAAAAACACATATTGCGCTTTCATGAACTAGTGTTATTTCGACATACATGGAACGTTTGCATCTCCATATGGAACTAAAGATCAGTGGCTACACCCACAGCTTAGTGGAAATACACGTTTTTACAGAGCTATCATCAGAGAATGATGGAGCCCTGTTTGTTTCTAGTAGAATGTTTTTACCTTTGACAGACAAATACACTTCTGCTGTCTCTTGTGGAAAAGTTTGCTTTAGAGCAAGCCTGGTGACTTAGGTCCAAGAAGTTTCCCTGGCTTGTAGAACTTATAGAGGGTAAACAGTCATTAACAGTTTAAGGAGATTTCTTTAAAGTTGCTTTTTCTTTGAATTTTTTTCTCTTTATCAATGCAGTATACTACAAAGATGCATATCATTGTGTTCCAAAGGAAAATGGCAAAGTAATTATATTTCGTAATATCTTGCACAGCTGAACAAGTTTACAAGCTTCTCAAGTTCTTTGGTATTTGACACACAGTGCTGAGCGCTATTTCTTGTACAGTCTTCCCATTTAATCCAGGGAAATAATAATTTTAAGCTCTGCTTACAGGACTGAAGGTTTAATGCCCAAGTTTGTAGGAGTCAGAACTGACTGGGCAGTATTAGGGAATCTGTCATCGTGGAAAAGCATGCTGTCACTGTCACCAAAACTATTTACTTAAGTATCCATTTAGAAAAATAGTGTTATTTTTGTAGACTGTAGTTTTACTGCTATATAATGTGGGAAAATAGTAAAGTAAGTGTTAATTGTGTACTTAGAAGTGAACTGAAAGGATAATATACTTAAATTGCAACTCACATGCAGTGGATGTATTTAGGCCTGAAGTCTGTAATTCAGAGTAAATACCCTGGGCAGCATGACTCCTCTTCCTGAGAAGTCTCCTTGAAGATTTTTGCATCCATCCTGAATTTCAGGTGAGAAATTAAGGGTTCTTTTGGTTGCTGAGTGCAGTAAATGTGAGTGAACTGTAATTGTTGGAGGAAGCTGTGAGCTGACAAAGCCTTCCATTTCTGTGAAAAGAAACCAGAGGACAGAGTCATGGACCAAAACCTAGAATAAACCCGTGAAGAGAATATGGTTTAGCATTTTTTTAAAGGACCGCTTAGATCACTGTGTGTTTTTTGCTTTATCTCCCATTTTATGACTTGTTGAGTTGGGGTTGGGCAACAGAGGGAATTCTGCAGTTGCCTCTTTTTCTGTAAAAGAACTATTCTGACCCTATTGTTCCTAACCACTTACAGAAAAAAGGAAAATGAAAGCCTCGAAGAGTTGAAGTATTTGAAGAAAAATACAGTTCCTTTTTGAACATTCAGTTTTAGTTTTAGCCTTGTGATTCTTTAAATACATATTTAATCTGCAGGAAGGTATTTCAATGTGATTCTCAGCTGGAGGAAAATGCTGATAAGGGAAGTTGAGGTGGGGAATGAACTGCGCTGTCAGCTGCCTGTTACTTTTATTCTTGCACTCAAGTAATCTTATATGGAGAACATGCTGAAAAATTTACTGTAAAATAATATATTAATACCCTCTTCACTCAAGAGAGTCCTGTTGTCCCTCTGGCAGCAGCCAGGGTGAATGTCCTTAAAAGGTTTTGCTGAACTGACTGAAACCTGATAGCAGTGTACCACATACCTGTAATTTCGGTTAGATGTTTCTACTGCCTATAGTTGTGCTAAACTCAGGTCCTTGGATGTTTTTCTGATCTTTACCTCCATGTTTGTATAAAAATTGCTGTCTGTATTGCAACTTAGTTCAAGATTAAAGTGAAGGTTCTTGACAAGCTAGCGTTGAGAAATTCCTTCAAACCTTCTTTCATTGAACAGTATTTAAAATTCTGCTTTTTCTTTTTTTGTCACATTGCAGTAGTGATGTACTTCATGCAGGGCCTGCACTTTTCCTCACAAGTTGAGTTTCTCATCGTGGTCTGAGAGGAGTGCAGTCAGGGTGTCTGTTGGGTCTGGATGAGATGGAGTCCATTTTCCCCTTAACTTTGTGTGCCCCTTCACAGTGCTGTGCTTTGTATTGGTTATTAGAAAGGTGTTGGCAACACAACTGTGTTTTGGCAGCTACTGAGCAGTGCTCACACAGAAAAGAAGAAGGAAGGAGGGTATTTACTACTTAGAACAGTTGCCTTCCAGAGCAACCGGTACATGAACTTGAAGCCCTGCTTCTCTGGAAAGTGTCTGGACATGGCTTGCTGATAGGAAGTACATAGTAGAATCTTAAGAGTTTTTTTCCCCTTCCTTGTGTGCATGCAACCTTTCACTTTTGCCTTAGTAAACTGCCTTACCTCAATCTACGAATTGTTTTCCATTTTATTTTCTCTCCCCCTTCCTGATGAGATACAGGAAGATGAGATACAATGGCTTGGTGAATACTCGACATCCAGCTAAAGTCAACCCACCACAAGGTGAAAAGAAAGGACAGTCTGTAGGGGTGACTTGTGACCCTGTTTTGACTGTAGATCCTGATCAGAACACCAGTTTTAGTAATCTGGATACAGATTTACAAAGTCAGTCAGGTATGGTATCTTAGAAGAAAATGGGCACAATCTCTTTGGAAGTAATGATCATGGTTCAAAATATTCTTACAGGTAAGTTACTAATGTATTAGTACAGAGGAAGTCAAGAAATTGCACAAAGAACTGAACACTGGTCATGAGTAAAAATGAAAAGGAAATTAAAGTTTTTTAATTTTCAGGCTTATAGCAGTTGGGCAAGATGACCTCCAGAGTTCCCGTTCAATCTCAACCACTCTATGATTCTTATTCTGTGACATCAGACAAAAATTGAGAAGTTGAGAAGATGAGAGTTACAGCATGTCACAGAATGACTGAACTGCTTAAGCAGCTAGGAAAAAAACACCCCAGTGTGCATCAGGATTAGAAAGGAAGCAAGGAGGCACTTGCTTCTGAAGTTGGCAGGTAAGAAATACTGTGCTGGGGGACAACCAGCAGAAGCATTCAAGAACAGGACTCCCATCCAGAGTGACCTGGGCAGGCATGAAAAACAGGTCTTGTGCAAGGCAGTGTGGACAAATGATGAGCTCCTAATGGAATTAAAAATAATAACCTAGAGAAGAGCCTGGAGAGCCTTTCCTACTAAGATCATAATGGACCAACACTTCGGTCCACCATCCTTCATATTTTTCCAGACCAGACAGGATAAAGCCTTGAACCACATGTTCCCAGTCTCCTCACTGATCCTTTGAGCAAGAGGTTGGACGGAGGACCTCCTGTGATCACTGCTATTTAAAGTGATAAGAGTGAAGGCAGTTGGGGAAGACTTCTGAATTGAGGGTTTGATCGTAAATCGTTAGGCTTCAAGATGAATTGAGGTAGTAGTGCATCCAGCAAATGATTTATAAGGCAGAGCAGATAACAGTAGTGGGAATTTTTTTAAGTTAAATTTGGTATTTATGAGACATAAAAAGCCTATTATGTAATTATTGAACTACATCCAATTCTTGTCACTAAAGGAAAACGTAAATTAATGGTTTACAGCCCTTGATCTGGAGCTGTTTGTAGGCTGTGAACTAGTTCTAATGAATCTGCAGGTGGTAGCTGAGTAAAGTGTCAAAATTCGGACTGCATACTTAAATTTGATGATTAAGGGCTGCATCTCTCAACTCAATAATTATGGCCATAGGAGTTGAAGGATGTAAACAAGAGTCATGAACAACAGAGAGATCAAATAGAATGCCCACAAACTAACACCAGTTTGATTAAAGTCCTTCACCTTTGACAGGTAGGAAAGCAGAAGATATAACAATCTATCCTGAAAACGTCTTTTTCATTGTTGATAATACTTGTTGGAATTTGCGTTCTCCTACAAATTAGCTTTAAAAATGCTGAAGAGAATGGACCTGTTTCTCCTCACTGACCTCAGTTTACGGCTGGGAGCAGAAAGCAAGCTTGCTGAATATTGTCAGTGTATCAGCTGGCTGTATGCATTATCGGCTGGCTGTATGCAGAGTCTGTATGCTTCTTTGATTTAAGATAAACTGTAAAACTTCTGAAGTACAGAAAAACTGTACTCCGTTGTCAGGTCGTAATAAGTGGGGTTTTTCCTGTGTTAGCCGGTTGAGTAATTTGAGCATGTTGTTTAGCAGTTCTAGGGAATTCCCTGGTGACACAGGAAGGGGATATTGTGACATCTGTCACAACTTTGTCCTCAATAACATGATAAATGGATGGGTCTTGGTCAGGTATGGGTGTCTGTACATTGTCCTGTACTTCAGGAATTGTCAAGGATGAAAATACCGTTTAGTTTTGTCATTGCAGATTTTACTTTTTTGTGACTATTACTATCTGTGTGTTTAGTTTCAGTCTTTGACAGTGACATTTCTTATAAACCCTCTGTTATTTGAGGGTTTTATGGTATGATTGTTTCCATCTCTTAGCTGCAGTAGCCAATAAGCAACAGGAGAAGAAATCATATGGCTATGGAGTGTGGACCAAGGACATGGGAGTCTTACATTTAAGCCCATTTTTTTCAAATTTATCTGATTTTTGTATTTTTTTTTTCTAGATAGCTGAAGGCAAATTACAAAATCAAGTGAGACTTAATTCTGGACAATAGTTCAGTAATGCTTGAAATATAAATATTAAGTGTTTTTCATTTTACACTGTTTATTTCCTTCCAACTAGCTACAATACAGTCTTTGACACTTCTAAGTGTAACGGGTGTGGGGTTTATTTCTTTTTATTAAGCAGAAAAAATGTTCTGGTGAGAAAGGACACTTCAGAAGAGCTACTTTGTGTTCAAGGCTAGGGAGTCAGCTCTTTGATCAAAGTTGACTGGAGCCAAACTACTGAAAATGTGTCTTCCTCCTTATGCTTCTACATAGTTGTAGAAACCTAACTTATCTTTCAGAGCCTGATATCCATATATAAGCTAAGAATAATATTTTCTTCAGAACTCACTGTAAATGTGTGTGTTCCCTGCTGATACTGTCTGAGAAAACTATAGACAGTGGCTGTAATCAG